ACATACACTTTGAGTTCTGAGTCTCTTGTCTTATTCCCTTTATATCATACCCGGGCAATGCCATATAATTGTTTCCACAAACACTGTTTGACAGTGAAAAACGTCTGGATGACATGGAGCAAAATAGTCAACAGATATTGTAAAATTCTTCCTTTTGATAAATTTATTAAATTGCTTAACATCATTACTGTGTAAAAGCTGAGGTCAATTCTGAGTTCTGGGTTTCTTATATAGAATGAAATTAGACGTGAATTTTGAGTCAAAGCATTAGTCTCAATAAAACACTAAAACTGATAATTTGGGGACAAATATAAATTGTTTGCAACAGCATTGGGTGGGGGTGAAAGAAGCTCATTTTACATCACTTCCTTTTGAGATCATGTGGTTTTAATGCCAGAAACTGATTCGTCTCTATCAGACTACAGCACATCTGAGGCTTTTGGGGTTTCTGGTTTGGGTCTTTATTTTTTCTTCAGTCATTGTTTAACTATAATGAAAAGGATAAGTGCAACAAATTTCACACTAAGGGGACATGCCGAGTGACAATTTGGACACTTCTTGTCTGTTATATGCACCTGACTTGTGGTTTTGCCAGAGAGTACAACTAAAAGTAATTAAAATACCAAAAACGAGGCTATAACCCAGATTAGACGTTTACTCTCTAAACATGAAATGAACTTTGGATGTTTCTCCTCTCTCAGATGTAGTTACTGGTCTGCAGGCCTTGTTCGCAGTACCAGAGTCCACGAGCAGCACACCCACCTCCCTTTCCCGGCTTTCACAAACACCCCGCCCCCCCCCACACAACCAGAAAGGCTGGTGTATCTGAGCTTTATTTGTAAATCCACATCCTTCGCTTCCAGACACCCATGCTCTGTGGAGGACTCTGTTCTCTCTTACAATATGTAGACTGGCCAAAAACCAGGGGACATGTCCTTGTATTGCAGCCATGACAAAACTCCATTTACCGCTTACAAAGCACTCTCTCTCCCCCAAATTCCTGCGACAGGCTTCAGCACGAAGTGCAGTCACCACATTCAGTTTCAAAGCTCAAACATCAGTTCCTGTAAGAGGTAAGCACAGCCCACAGCACAGGGCAGGATGACAGAAAAAACGTGAAGGGGGGGGCTGGTCCCGCCCGAACCCACCTCCTCTCTCGGCCCAGCAACGGGCTAGCAGAGTGTACTCTGTCGGGACACCCTCGGAAACGCCTGCCTTCTTCCCTGAAAGTTTGACCTGTTTTCTCTGAGTCTCAAAAATATTTTTAAATTCTGCCTGGTTCTTTTTTTCTGCCATGAATGACGGATATGTGAAAGTTACTCATTTTGTTTAAGAAGTACTGACTTGAGGCATGACGTTAAAATTCAGGATTAAAAAGGGGGGTTTCATTTTGCACCTGAAAAGGCAAAGAATCGTTCTCTATCAGAAAGGGAAGACAAAGACGTTTCCCCCAGTACTCAGTCCTCCATATCTGTGAGCTCTGCACCCATGGCCCGGCCCGTTGCAGATCAAAATTATTTGGAAAGAAAATCACAGCACCCACACTGAACAGGTGCAGGAGTTTTTCTCTCCTCTTATTCCCTGAATAGAAAAACAACTATTTAATGCAACATTTATGCTACATGAAGTATAAGTAATCCAGGAATGATTTAATAAGTGTGTGGGAGGAGATGCATAAGTTATATGCAAATAATACACTGTCAATCTACGGGGTTTAGGCATCTATAAACTTTGGCGTGAAAATGTTTGATTCTCCAATGCGAGAAGAGGTTTGCACCTGGACCTGTGAGTCCTGGGCAGTGACTGGGTGGTCTGTGATTTCACCCTTCCAACTGGGGAAACAGAGACCAGTCCCTGTGGGTTTTGTTGTTTGTTTGGTTGGTTGGTTTTGTTTTTGGTACCGGGGATCGAACTTGGGTCCTTGTGCTTGCGAGGCAGTCGGCAGAACCACTGAGCTAAATTCCAGGTCCAGTCACTGTGTTTGCGGGGTGGGCGGTTTGAGACAGGGTCTTACTGTGTAGTTCACACTGCTCTGGAACTCACTGTGTAGCCCAGGCTGGTCTCGAACTGCAGTGATCCTCCTGCCTCAGCCTCCTGAGTGCTGGGATTGCAGGCGTGCGCCACCAAGCCTGGCCCCAGTCCCTGTGTTTTAAACTGATGCAATAATAAAATAAGTCTTTTTTCACAAAAAGAAGAAAGGGAAAATGGAATATAAGAGCAACAGAAACAAAGCTAAGCAGGCACAGATACACTCTTTCCGGGAACAGTCAGCATGGTGAATGTCAGGCCGACATTCCCTTGAAGAGCAGTTGTTGTAACAAAGCAAGAGAAATGGTACAGTCATACATTACAGACTGGCCTGTGACACTTGTAGAATTATTAGAAGTAGTTGAAGCAGGGGAAAACACCCCTCTGATTCTAATATTCCAAGGGATATTCGTATGTCCCTTTTGACCACGTTCCCCAGGGCGGAACCAACTCATCCTTCAGGTCTTAGCTCAAAGGCCAGGAAAGCCTGGCTGACAGAGCCGAGGCACGTTGGGTGTCCTTTCTCCTGGCCCTGCTCCCTAACTCACACTGCACCTGCACTCCCTCGTGGCGGTAAGGCCTGGAACTCTGCTTTGTGTCGTCAGTGTCCAGCACAGGCAGAGGGCACCTCGCCATTTAACTAAGCTTTGCTAAGGTGCTTTAGGTAGAGTTGGTTGTGGATCTGTATGAGTGTTAAGGACAGACACAAATCAGAGACACCACCACTAAGAGGAAGTCACTATTTTTCTAATCCTTCTGCTAAGTGCAAAAAAGGCCTGGATATTATATACCAGCAAACACAGGAGGACGAAAGAAAACAGGCAGGGACCTCAGGCCCCAAGAAACTCTACTCAGCACTGGGCTGAGTGTCCTGAGATTTCTTCTTAGCTCACAGGGCTCAGACTTTGACCTGGGAAGGAAGCAATCTGGGAACACCCAGCTCTCTCTCCAGCCAAAGGACGAGAAAAAGCAAAGAGCCAGCAAGACAAACACACAGGAGGCTTTGCTCCTGGGCAGTGCCACGGCCCCTCCCACACCAGCAGGAGTTCAGCGGGTAGAGGTGCCCAGTCCCTGCCAGGCGAGAGGTGGGCAAAGCGGGGCTGGGACCTGGGCCCTTCGTCCCTGCCGAAGGTAACGAGGTCTCCCCACCACCGGTGTCCCAGGTGTCTGCAGAGGCCCTGTGTGAGCAGGAACTGGGGCAGGGGCATCCCTGCCAGGGTGGCACCAATAGAGAAGTGAAGGGGGCTGAATGCCACCCTACTCACCCCAGTGTCAGTGGAGGCCGAGTGGAGAAACTGGACTCCTAACCACACCCGTCCCAAGGAGGCAGTGACCCCAATTTCCCTGTTAGGATGCTGTCAGCAAAGACTGGCAAAAGCACAAGGTTTGAATAGAAGCAGTAGTCTTTTTTTTCTTTTTGAAACAGGGTCTCACTATGTATCCCAGGCTGGCCTTAAACTCGTGGTGGCCTTGAACTCCTGCCTCAACCTCCTGAATGCTGGGATTACAGGCGGACACTACCAGGCCTGGCTGAAATCAATAGTCTTAAAACAGAATGCCTGAAACATACAGTTTTCAATTAAAAATCATTGCTATCTAGAAGCAGAAAATTCTTTGGAATGCAAAAAAAGAGACAAATAATAATGCAAACACTGCAATGACACAAAAGCTATCATAAAAATGTTTCAACAGGCAACGGCAAACACACTTGAAACAAACGAAGACATACAAAGTCTCAGCAAAGAGATAAACATTCTCAGCAACTAGAAGATATAAAGAAAAAGGAAATTTGAGAAAGAAAGCATACCATAAATGAAATAATAAAAACCAATGGATAGGCTCCACAGCAGAATGGACTAGATGTAGGAAAAAATCAGTGAACTTTAAAACATAAAAATACACTGAAATACACACACACACACACACACACACACACACACACACACACACACACACACACACACACACACACACACACACACACACACACACACACACACACACACACACACACACACACACACACACACACACACACACACACACACACACACACACACACACACACACACACACACACACACACACACACACACACACACACACACACACACACACACACACACACACACACACACACACACACACACACACACACACACACACACACACACACACACACACACACACACACAGAGTCTTGGGAAACTATGGAACTAAAACAAAAACCCTGGGAAACTTTTTAAGTTATTTAATATATTTCAGTTACAAATTATATTATCTACAGGTCTCTGTGTCTGCTCTGTGACAGCTGAAGAAAGACCATCATAGAAGGACATATAACAATCTCTGGTGTATTTATACAATATCTAAATTGGACCCAGACAGCCTCCATGTTAAATAGCCCTTGAAGGTACATAGGTTGGAATGAAAGTGTAAAATCAATGCAATGGGGCAAATCAAGTTTGACCTGTCAGTTGACAATGTTACATGCTACGCGACACGTTCTTTTCGTGTTCTTTTGCTGCTGCCGGCGTCATTCTCTTGCTTGGAGAAATGTTTATGCCCATGGTCTCTACGACAGATGCCACCCACATGTGCTGACAAGTTCCCTAAAGTTTCGCTGGGAATAGACCCAACTTGAACAGTCTAAAAGAACCAAATTTAGGGCTATCTTCAGCTTCTATCAATTACAGTGAACAGAAGAGAGTCTTTTTGTACAAATATAAAATTTTATCATAGGTAGATACATTCAACTCAAATCTTCAAAGTCTAACTTGTTATAGCCATTAAATCTGAAGAACTCCAATCACAATTTTTAAAACCTCACAAGATTAATAACTTGACTTTTGAGGGAGTGTATAGGAACGGTAAAAAGGGGATCTCAGAAATATTTTGGCTTCCATTAATTCTTTGATTAAAAGTAAAAAAAAAACCCAAATTAAAAAGAACACAGAACCACTTTTAAATTCTTGTAGTGATATTAATGTAACACGGACCGTTCCAATCCCATTAATCAGTCTAGTGTTTGACAACATCGTAAAGGTTTATTGTCAATAATGCAGTACTAATATCTGGTGTCTAGAGGATCTTCACAGCTACTCCTCTGTGAAGAGAAGTGGACTCGCAGTTAGGGACAAGGTCTCAGAAGAATAGTGCGCACTGTTCTTACACATTCTGTCTGTGTGGGGCATGACAGGAACACCTCCCGCTGCTGGGCCGAGTCCCCAAGGTTCCCTGAGATCTTCATATCACAGAGGAGTCCCGGTTCTGACTCTGCTTGCCAGTTTCTAAACAATGTGACCGTGTGGGTGCCGGACTGTGGAAAATATGAGATTCCCTCAGAAAGACTCATGGTGTCGCTTTTGGTTATTTTTGTTTGCTGGGGCTTTTTGAAATTAAAAAAAAAAAAAATCAGTCTTCTTCACTAAAGGTTGCCAAATGTGTTTTCAACTTCAAGATGTCTGAAACTGGCTGTTTTCTTTCTTGATAGAAGCTGAGCCCGGTGATGAGTTCAACATCTGTAACCCGTGCTCTGTGTAACATTAACAACTCTTCAATCCACGAAGATCCACTCTTCTCATGCTACGAGGATGGAAAATAAAGAAAAATCACCAGAGAACACACAGTTCGCTTCCTCAATCAGCTCTGCACCTCTCCCAATTTATCTGTTATGAGATTTTGGAAATGGCAGCTGCTGTAAGATCTGTTAGGCATAATCCCCACATTGGAGCTGCTCACCCTCTAAGTAAACATGTGTGCTAACATATAGATAGATAGATAGATAGATAGATAGATAGATAGATAGATAGATAGATATAGATCAGTCAACTTTGGGGAAAAAATAAAGTATACCTCAACAGATAGTTATGCATTGCACAGAGATTGCAAGGAACATCATTAGTGGGGGCTTAAAAAAATGACTAGAAAACTAAAACTGTTATGATATGGTAGAAAGAATATGGAAATTACCGTGAAACAAAAAACCAGATGTGAATCCTGGTTCTATGATTACCTCATCCAGTCAACCAATGCAAATTACTTAACATCTGGATCGTGATTCCCTTACCTGTATCCCCTCTAGGGTGGATGTGAAGAGCAAGTGTAACGCTGTGCACCACTGTGCCACACAAACACTAGTTTTTGTGAGAATGCACTGTCAATGTAGTTGCATGAAAAATGGGGTTGGGAGAGTCATACAGGACAATTTCACTTCTGCTGACAGAGGAGCATCGTAAGAGGAGACCAGGGAAGAATGAAAGGTAGATATGCTGATAAATGGGAGCAGAGGCGGTAGCTGCATCAGTAGCAGAGGGGGACGTCATACATCCACGTGGCAGTGTTTCTGAAACGGGCCACTGTAGGCAGTCAGGAGAAGGAAGTGTTCACATCAGGTGGGCTCTGACGGTACTCTAATGACACCTGTCAGAAAAGGTCCGTGCATCCTCAGACACTGTTAGTCAAAAATGATACGCAGACTTCTTATATCGAAACAGACCAACAACTTCCATTTTCCCTCCAGCCTCCGACTGCCCACTGCCTCACACTGTCTCTTTCCAGCTGCACCCCTCACTCTGGCTCTAAGGGGAACAGCAGTAGGGTCCTCGACCAGAACGTACTTGGCATCTGTCCCAACGCCCACAGGAACAGACTCAGAAATTCATGTCAGGCAACTGCTCCCTTGGGCTAACATCCATCCTTGCTACTTCAGCCATGCCACAGAAGCAATCGGTAAGTGTAGTATACCCTAAGCCAACCCTCTCTCTGGTTCGAGTCCAATAGTTAGTATCTTCTATGTACATTTCATTACAGAATTTGATAAGAATGCATTCATCTACAATAGTGAGCTGGTAGAGTGGGAAAAGGAACTCAATGCCTGGCTCGTGAACTTAAAAATATCTAAGTTGATGAGTGGAGGCACACACAAGCCCGTGGCTGCCTTCTCCTATCTGCCAGGACAGCAGAGAATTGAGACGAAATTTACAGAAGCAAGAGCCATCTTCGGCCCATGAGGGCCAAAGCCACACGCTAAGAGTGGTGGAGCTTTCTAGAAAGACAGGAACGTTCTGGGTCCCTAACGGTGCTGCTGACCCCAAGTAGCATCCCAAGCCTGTGTCCCTGAATTTCCTATCACGTGACGTGACAATCGGTCATCACATTACACACCACGCAGTTTCCAAGTCCAAGGACCCTGCAGAGTCGTGCTCTTTCCCAGTGTAGACACACACGCAAACACACACGTGTTCCACACGGAGGGAGGGAGATAAAAGGGCCCTACTTACAGCGCAGCTCTCACTGTTGTCGGGCCTGTGAGGCAAGATGAAAGCCGTGGTATCTAAGCCTTCACAATACGAGGGGGTCCCGGACGCGTTTTTACAGCAGGTGAGCACAACGAAGAAGTGGGTAGGAATCAGAACTTCTTGGTTACGGATGACTCTGCTGTTTCTGGAAAACATGCCAATATTCACCTTCAGGTAGAAATAACTTTCTTTTTAAACTTTTTCATTAGCCTATGTCTGCAGCATGTATTTCACTCATCGTGGGGAGTCAGTGCGTGTACACGGCACAGCTCGATTCTTTTTATGCCCCCTCTCCTCTCTCCTCTCCTCGCACAACATCTCTTGGTCCCTTTCCCATCTGCTAAAGATCTACACCCTGTTTCCTATTGTGTTTTTATTTTACTCTTTAATTTATTCATACTCTGAGTTTCCCTTATACGTGTTGGGCATGGTGATGCACGCCTGTAATCCCAGCACTCCAGAGGCTGAAGCAGGAGGATTGCTCTGAGGGCAAAGCTGGCCTAGGCTATAGAGTAATTTCAAGGCCAGCCTGAACTACAAAGTGAAAAAACCAAACCAAACCAAAGTAAAACACCCATTTGATATTTAAACTTGTGTATTACTTATTTCACTTAACATTACGGATTCCAGATGCATCCATTTGCCTACAAATGACTTTTATCCTTCAGGATAGCAGATATGTGGATCAATGGAACAAAATAGGGGACACAGAAGTGACCCGAGGCAGATTCAGCAACCTGATCTTTGACAAGGGGCCAAAAACATCTGCTAGAGGAAAGAACCTCTTTAACGAATGGTGCTGGAAAACTAGGTATCCACATGCAGAAGATGCAAAGTAAGCCCATATCTCTCACCATGCACTAAACTAAAATCAAAACAGCCCCGAGACCTAAATATTAAGACAGAAACAATCTACTGAAAGAAAAAAGAGGTGAAATTCTTGAACTCACTACATAGCCCAAATTCACCTCAAACTCTTGGCGATCCTCCAGCCTCAGCCTCCCGAGTGTTGGGATTACAGGCGTGCGCCACCACGCCTCCTTATAAAGGTAAACCTTCAATAATGTATTTGAGGGCTGCGGGCTTAGCTCAGTGGTTCCACCGCCTGCCTTGCAAGTGCAAGATGTAGGCGAGGACTTTCTGAACAGAACTATTTTTAAAGACCATTTCAGTAGAGCATGTTTTCAACATATCTCAAGTTCAAATTGAGTCAAGTAATGAAATGTATTAAATGAGTTTAGGCAATCATGATGCCCCAGTGTATTCTGCCAGATTGAGACTAAGAGGAAGAAGCTCCAAATCATTTTTATTTTCTACTGAAATGCGAACTGTTTTTCGATTCTGTCTAAAGACTCTAGAATTGAGACACAACCGGAAAATATTTTGAATACTTACAAGTAAGACTCTAAGTCATTACGGATGGTCTTTATGCAGTTACGACATACAATGGGCAGAGAGAATGGGTTAGGGATTTTCATCCCTTCAGATGGGACGTTGCTGAGCATTGCTCGTTTGCTTTAACTGGATTTTTCCTTTCTGTCCCAAAACTTCAGCTTAGCTTTTTAAAAGACTGCAGCCTATTACGGATGCCCCATGCAATACACCTACTTCCGTGTAATTCTATTTCCTTTGCTTTAAAGCTGTGTTTTCCTTCGGGATTTTTCAAAACTGGAGGCAGTGGGACACCCGCCTGCCTGCGAAGACGATGTCATGTGGACCCGCCATGTACAAGACAGACGGCAGCGCACGGGTTCAGCAGAGGATGCCGGGGAGCAGTGTGCACAGGTCTCTGCCCTGGAGCTGCTACTCGGGAACTGCCTGCCTCTTGCAACAGAGAAAAGGGCTGGGACTTTGCAATGCGCGATGGGCTTCAGTTGTTGGGGGGTAAACAGCAGCCCTAAGTCAGCCCCTGGGAAAATTCTCAGAGTGGCTCGATCCCCTTGGACTCTTCAATCTTTGCCTTGTGATCTCAGTAGCAAAACTGCTCCCAAGACTCTTGCAATTATAGTTCTAATAAAGCATAACCAGGGCCGGGAGCAGTTCAGGAGCACAGCACTTGCCTAGCAGAAGCAGAAACCTGGGTTTCATCCCCAGGACCACAAAAACGGGGAGGGGGAGACGCCATCCAATTTCTAAAAGGTGCACTTTCCCACTTCATGTTAGAAACAGCACCCTGATGGGTTCCCCAAAGTCACTGCCCCGGCACTGTCCTCCAGCAGGAGTCGATTGCGGCTGGGACACTGACCCAAGGCCACCAAGCCGGAAAGGAGTGCGGGTCAGTACGCGCTTGTGCTATTGCTGCCCCCCCAGACAGTTGTAGCAGGCCGGGCCCCTACATCTGGCCCAACGGAGGTGCTCACCACCAAGGTGTTGCAGGGGAGTTCAAGAAGTGCTCAGCCTGGCTGGCTGGGAGAGGAACAGGACTCCTCACCCCCAGAGGAGGTTTTACCCAACACCGCACCAAACACCCAAACCCGATCTCCTGAGGTTCTTCTGTGCGGTCGGCAATGCCAAGTCCACAGGGGTGACCTGTCCTGCAGCCCCACCAGACGGCCAGGCCACTGACAGCCCCCTGCGAGAGCGACACCACCATCCTTACCGCTTCAGCGTCTCGGCGGAGTCATAGCGCCCATCGTAGTCAGAGTCGAACACGGGGCCGCTGACCACGTTGACGCCGTTCCTCTCCTCCGCGTACCTGGGCACCACGGTGCCATGGAAGTAGCGCCACACAGCTGCAACAAGGAGGAAGACGGTGGTCTCCAGAGAACACTAGGACCCACGTCAGCAGCTCGATGAGCGCGGATAAAGTCCAGGGGGCTCAGTTTTAGAAAGAGCTGCAAAGTCCTCTGTCAGCTTTGGCCCCTGAGAGACCCGACAGGTGACCGCTGGGTTCAACTTTATTTTTGTGAAATCCCGACTGAGGAACTTGTGTCATCAGTAAGCACAACGCTGCCCCAAACAAGGGAAATGAGTGAGGGTCGCTGTTAATATTTGCATTTTCCCTCTGGAACTAGTCACAAGTGCTACGCATGTTAATGAGACACCTCATAAGCCCTACATTAATATTCACACATAGGGGCGTAGTGGCGCACGCCTGTAATCCCAGCCCTCAGGAGGCTGAGGCAGGAGGATCACTGTGAGTTCGAGACCAGCCTGGGCTACAAAGTGAGTTCCAGGTCAGTCTCAACTACATAGTGAGACCCTGT